AAAACATCGGTTCCTCTGTCAATTTCTCCTCTATTTTCTTTACTTTAATCTTGTTCTTTTTCTTATGATCTTTATTATTTCAATTTGTCATTAATCTCAATGCCTGCATTCGAGGCGATTTTTCCCAACACATTGACATGGTAATATTAGAATTGTGGTTGGATTCTACAAAATTGGTAGTAATGCAATATAAGTTGACTAAGACGTTGCCACCAGTCAAGATGTAAGTAACAAAGTCATGTTGTACTTGAGGTTAAAACTATCCATGGTGACCCTTCTAGATACCATTTATATACATTGATGTTGTACCCAAAGAAGATGGAAAATCATGTTCCAATTTCTCTTACATGGAGCTGATGATGATTAATTTTATAAAGGAATCGTCTGACGAAACGTATTCGTTGCCAGATATAGCTGACATATATGGCATGAAGGAATCCAACAATCATAGTAGTATCACATGCAGATGTGAGAGAAGTAGTAGACGAGAAGATGTTCCGCAACAAAAAAACTCTGAAAAGAAGCTTGGCATTCTATGCAATCTAGAACAAATTTGAGTTTAGGGTCTTCAAGTAAGCCAAGAAGGATTATGTTCTTTGATGTTTAGAAAATAATTGCAAATGGTCATTTAGGGTTTAAGGTTGAGCAAAACAGATATGTTAGAACTTAGAAGACAAAGAGTAGAGAAATTTGATTGAATTGATTCTGGAAGACAGTACACGGCCTCCCTTTTCTCAAGGCCTTACATGATGCAAAATAAATAATATTTTATACACTTTTCTACCAACTACCACTACTAGATACTTAGTCAAATACATCAACTTGTAGTAGGACTAACTAGCCTAACAAATCACAATGACTAGTAACTACCACTACTAGATACTTAGTCAAATACAACAACATGTAGTAGGACTAACTAGCATAACAAATCACAATGACTAGTGTTTGACCAATACAAAAAACGTGTGACAAAGTAGTAGATCAAAAAGTGACTTAATTCAACAAAAGTGTCACACTAAGTTCATCAAGATATGTTCGATTAAGGAGATGGGGTTTGGTCACACATGTTCTACGAATATCATTTTAGGGTCTCATTGACAAGTATCAAACTTCATTGGCATGATTGTTTTAGTCACCCTTCCAAGTCTACTTTAGATTGCTTCCTTCAATTCCTGCAAATAAAAGAGGCAACCGAAAAACTCAATGTCTATAGCTCGTGTCTATTAGGAAAAGTTAAATGTTTGCCCTTTAGTGACTATAATGGACAATCTACAAGACCATTAGCTTTGGTTCATACTAATGCCTAGGTATCTCCTGTAACCTCGATTGGTGGTTGTTGATATTATGTTTTATGTGTTGAAGAATTCAGCCAATTCACACGAACGTATGCCATGCATTTCAAATGCAACATATTTTCCCTTTTTCACAAATATAAAGCTCCTGTGGAAAATTAATTTTTATGGACTATTAACAATTGCAATATGATAATATAGGTGAATATTTGTCCAAAGGATTTCAAGATTTTATGACAAAAAAAGGATCTTCTACCGCTTAACATGACCTTACACCTCCCCAACAAAATGACGTTGTTGAGAGAAAACATCGCCATTGATAGCCCAAAAATAACTAATCAAGAGGGGGATGAATTTGATTTTAAAACTTTTTTGAAAAATAAACTTAAATCAAGCAAGCTAAGAATACGTTGATCAATTCAATAATCATAAACAAATAAAAGCAAGTCGACTAATCAAATAAATATAAATAGGATAAGGATACGTAAAATGGTAGAAATGATGCAAACGATATAATTGTGGAGGTTTGATCCAAAAGTAATGATCTATGTCCTCCATTGCGAAGCTCTTCGGCATGAGTAAGAATTTTACGGAACCTCAATATGACCCATACTATTGATTGACTTGTAGTGTAATCCAATCCTTTACAATGCTTTCCTTGACTTACAAATACGAAATACCGATTCTTATACAATATTAAGTTTTACGGGACCTCAATATGATCCATACTATTGAGTTTTACAATACTATTAAGTTTTCGAATGAGAGCTTTTCTTAAAGCATTGGATGAGCGTATTTGGATGACCGTTTAAACTGGGTGGACTACACCTTCAACTACTGCTGCTGGTGTAGCTACACCTACTGATATTTCACTCTAGACTAAAGACGACTTAGTCGAATGTTACTGAAACGGTAAGGGTATTCATGCCTTGTTCATGGCTATGTCTGCTGAAAAGTTTAGGAGAGTATCGATGAATGAAACTGTTAAAGAAGTTTGAGATATATTAGAAACCACACATGAGGGAACTAAAACTGTTAAAAACTCTAAATTGCAGATGTTGACCTCTGAGTTTGAAGAAATTAGA